ACCGTTGTATCATAGAAACGATTAAAGATATCTTACTGGAATTCTCCAACGTTTTCATAACACTATTGATCTTTAAAGCTTAACAGAAGTATCGTGATGAAATCGATCATAAACGAAAATTACATGTTAATCATTAATTAATCATAGCTAAAGATTGGAAGCTCATGAAGTAAAAATATATATTTATCATTTCAGGATCATTTTCAATTTTTGTAATATATAAAAAAAAGTATATATATATATATATATATATGTGTGTGTGTGTGTGTGTGTGTGTGTATATATATATACATATATTACTTTCATTTATATATATATATTAATTACGTAAACACTGTATTTTAGTGGATAATTATGTTTGAGTAGAAGCATTCTTTTATTTTTAAGTCGTGTGAATTACATCTACGGGCCAGTGTATTTGAGAATCTTAATAAAATAATTGTGCTCTCTGTCAGGGTTCGAACCTGCGTTTCCCTTTCTCAGGGAAACCACTGTCTGTTCGCAAATTATTTAGAACTTCATGATCCAACAAGGTTCAGTTAACCGTGGTCGAGTGGTTAAATGTACACCCGATAAGACTGTTGATTCTCCAAGTAAGTGGGACGCAATTTTTAATTCTGCTCTGTGGTACTCTTTATATATATTAAGATTCTCGATTGTACAAGTCGGTAGATTTAATAGACATTGTTAAAAATCGGGGTTTCTTCTCAATATATATATATATATATATATATATATATATATATATATATATATATATATATATATATATATATATATATATATATATATATATATATATATATATATATAAGGCTTGAAAAGATGGGTGACTGATCCCATGAAATAAACTGTTGATTTCTAAGGACTCTGTTTTCATTATTATATTCTATTTGCTCTGTTCTTATATTGTGCTCTCTTTGCATTTTCCTTCGAATTATCACTACTAATTATCACGCAATATTATATATATATATATATAGCCTCTGAGTGTTGATTTCAATGTTCACTTTATATTTACATACGCTCTGTCTTATATATATATATATATATATATATATATATATATATATATATATATATGAGTTAGCGCACATTGAATATTGAATGATGAATGCTAATAAAATAGTAAAATAGTGCTCGATGAAATATATGCAATAGCAGTATATGTAATGGTTAGTCAGTACTTAGCACCTGAGGTTCCGTTGTGCATAAGACTGATTATTTCTACCGATGAAGAATTATATATATATATATATATATATATATATATATATATATATATATATATATATATATGGAAGAAAAATGGAAATTTCTAGAGAAAGAAGGAAAGAAGAAAAGTGACCGAAACTGTAAAGTCGGTGAATATATTTTTGAATGAAAAGAAAATAATAAAAAAACCATGCAAAGAATGGAAGAAGGTAAGTAAACATTTTGAAGGAAGAAAGGAAAGTAAGGAAAAGTGAATGAAAGACGGAATGAAAATTCAGAAGGAAGGAAAAATAAATATTCTGTATTTGATAGTCTAAATACAAATTGTTAAGAGAGGCAAAACGAAAAAAAAAATGGTGTAGGTTATGTATGAACGTGCACAAAGAAGAAAAGTGCAACACGGATGAAGAATAAAAAAATGGATCCATTAAAAATGGAAGAAATATCCCTGAAAGAAATTAAAGTGCGTAGAATGGAGAGAGGAGGACAGATAAAGGAAGCATGAGGAATGAAGAAGAACAAAAAAGAAAAATGGAAAAAGTAACAAAATATATCAAAAAAGAAACATTATTATCAAATGTAATAAGATATAAGGAAACAGTAATTTTTTTTTTAAAAAGTGAAAGAAAAAAGAAAAATAAAGAGCTAAATCATACTTAGGGTTTAAAGCTCCATTCATGAAAGAAAGAAATAAAAAGAAAGCTGAAGAAAAAAATCACACACAAGGACTGGAATTAATAGTAAGTGGAATGCGAGTTTAAAAGAAATCAAATCGAGGGGGAAATAATATATGTAACAAACAAACAGGAAAGAAAGAAAGAAAGATAGAAAGAAAGCAAGAAAGAAAGAAAGAAAGAAAGATAGAAAGAAAGAAAGAGATCGATAAAACGAATAGACTTCAAGAAAAAAGAAAGAAAGAAAGAAGGATAAAAGAAAAACAGAGATAGATAAAAGAACAGACATAAAGAAAGAAAGAAAGAAAATGAAAGAAAGAAAGAAACAGAGAAAGATAAAAGGAATAGACTTCAAGAAAGAAAGAAAAAAAAAAAAGAAAGAAAGAAAGAAAGAAAAGAAAAAAAAAAAACAGAGATAGATAAAAGAACAGACATAAAGAAAGAAAGAAAGAAAATGAAAGAAAGAAAGAAACAGAGAAAGATAAAAGGAATAGACTTCAAGAAAGAAAGAAATAAAAAAAGAAAGAAAGAAAGAAAGAAGGAAAAAAGAAAAACAGAGATAGATAAAAGAACAGACATAAAGAAAGAAAGAAAGAAAATGAAAGAAAGAAAGAAACAGAGAAAGATAAAAGGAATAGACTTCAAGAAAGAAAGAAATAAAAAAAGAAAGAAAGAAAGAAAGAAGGAAAAAAGAAAAAAAACAGAGATAGATAAAAGAACAGACATAAAGAAAGAAAGAAAGAAAATGAAAGAAAGAAAGAAACAGAGAAAGATAAAAGGAATAGACTTCAAGAAAGAAAGAAATAAAAAAAGAAAGAAAGAAAGAAAGAAGGAAAAAAGAAAAACAGAGATAGATAAAAGAACAGACATAAAGAAAGAAAGAAAGAAAATGAAAGAAAGAAAGAAACAGAGAAAGATAAAAGGAATAGACTTCAAGAAAGAAAGAAATAAAAAAAAAAGAAAGAAAGAAAGAAGGAAAAAAAAAAACAGAGATAGATAAAAGAACAGACATAAAGAAAGAAAGAAAGAAAATGAAAAGAAAGAAAGAAACAGAGAAAGATAAAAGGAATAGACTTCAAGAAAGAAAGAAATAAAAAAAGAAAGAAAGAAAGAAAGAAGAAAAAAGAAAAACAGAGATAGATAAAAGAACAGACATAAAGAAAAAGAAAGAAAGAAAATGAAAGAAAAGAAAGAAACAGAGAAAGATAAAAGGAATAGACTTCAAGAAAGAAAGAAATAAAAAAAAAAGAAAGAAAAGAAAGAAAGAAGGAAAAAAGAAAAACAGAGATAGATAAAAGAACAGACATAAAGAAAGAAAGAAAGAAAAATGAAAGAAAGAAAGAAACAGAGAAAGATAAAAGGAATAGACTTCAAGAAAGAAAGAAATAAAAAAAAAAGAAAGAAAGAAGGAAAAAAAAAACAGAGATAGATAAAAGAACAGACATAAAGAAAGAAAGAAAGAAAATGAAAGAAAGAAAGAAACAGAGAAAAAGATAAAAGGAATAGACTTCAAGAAAGAAAGAAATAAAAAAAAAGAAAAGAAAGAAAGAAAGGAAAAAAAAGAAAAACAGAGATAGATAAAAGAACAGACATAAAGAAAGAAAGAAAGAAAATGAAAGAAAGAAAGAAACAGAGAAAGATAAAAGGAATAGACTTCAAGAAAGAAAGAAATAAAAAAGAAAGAAAGAAAGAAAAAGAAAAAAAAAAAAAAACAGAGATAGATAAAAGAACAGACATAAAGAAAGAAAGAAAGAAAATGAAAGAAAGAAAGAAACAGAGAAAGATAAAAGGAATAGACTTCAAGAAAGAAAGAAAAAAAAAAAAAGAAAGAAAGAAAGAAAAGAAGGAAAAAAGAAAACAGAGATAGATAAAAAGAACAGACATAAAGAAAGAAAGAAAGAAAATGAAAAAAGAAAGAAAGAAACAGAGAAAGATAAAAGGAATAGACTTCAAGAAAGAAAAAGAAATAAAAAAAAAAAGAAAGAAAGAAAGAAAAAAAAAGAAAACAGAGATAGATAAAAGAACAGACATAAAGAAAGAAAGAAAGAAAATGAAAGAAAGAAAGAAACAGAGAAAGATAAAAGGAATAGACTTCAAGAAAGAAAGAAATAAAAAAAAAAAAGAAAGAAAGAAAGAAGGAAAAAAGAAAAAAGAGATAGATAAAAGAACAGACATAAAGAAAGAAAGAAAGAAAAAAGAAAGAAAGAAAGAAACAGAGAAAGATAAAAGGAATAGACTTCAAGAAAGAAAGAAATAAAAAAAAAAGAAAGAAAGAAGGAAAAAAAAAACAGAGATAGATAAAAGAACAGACATAAAGAAAGAAAGAAAGAAAATGAAAGAAAGAAAGAAACAGAGAAAGATAAAAGGAATAGACTTCAAGAAAGAAAGAAATAAAAAAAAAAAGAAAAGAAAGAAAGAAGGAAAAAAAGAAAAAACAGAGATAGATAAAAGAACAGACATAAAGAAAGAAAGAAAGAAAATGAAAGAAAGAAAGAAACAGAGAAAGATAAAAGGAATAGACTTCAAGAAAGAAAGAAATAAAAAAAGAAAGAAAGAAAGAAAGAAGGAAAAAAGAAAAACAGAGATAGATAAAAGAACAGACATAAAGAAAGAAAGAAAGAAAATGAAAGAAAGAAAGAAACAGAGAAAGATAAAAGGAATAGACTTCAAGAAAGAAAGAAATAAAAAAAGAAAGAAAGAAAGAAGGAAAAAAGAAAAACAGAGATAGATAAAAGAACAGACATAAAGAAAGAAAGAAAGAAAATGAAAGAAAGAAAGAAACAGAGAAAGATAAAAGGAATAGACTTCAAGAAAGAAAGAAATAAAAAAAGAAAGAAAGAAAGAAAGAAGGAATAAAGAAAAACAGAGATAGATAAAAGAACAGACATCAAGAAAGAAAAGAAGAAAGAAAAACAGAAACAGAGAAAGATAAAAGGAATAAAATTCAAGAAAGAAAGAAAGAAAGACAGAAGGAACAAAGAAAAACAGAGATAGATAAAAAAACAGACATCAAGAAAGAAAGAAAGAAAGAAAGAAAGAAAGAAAGAAATAAGAAAGGAAGGAAGGAAAGAATGAAAAATGAAAAGAAAGACAAAATGAAAGAAAGAAAAACTGAGACAGATAAACATGAATAGACTTTACGAAAGAAAGAAAGAAAGAAATAAAAGTAAAAGAAAGAAAGAAAAACATCCACGGATAAAACTTCTTCTTCTTCTTCTTCTTCTTCTTCTTCTTCTTCTATGTGTCGTGTTCCTTCCGAACGTGAGTGAAATGTCCTTGCACAAAGAAAACTGAAAAGGAAGAAAATAAGAAACAAAGAGAAAGAAAGGAATATGATTCTTCATATACGAAAAAGAAATTAAAAACAAAATAAAGGCAAGCTGGAAGAAAATAACGCAAAAGAAGGAAAAAATGAACGCCAATCTGAAGAAAACAGAAAGGGAGATAAAGAAAGAAAAAAAAAGAAGAAAGAAACGAAAAAAATGAACGAAAGTTACAAAGAGATGGCTACAAAGGTGAAAATAAGAAAGAAAGCAAGAAAGAAATGATTATATAGATAAAAGGAAATAAATAAATGAAGTGGTAGAAAGAAATAAAGAGCTGGATGCAATTTAGAACAGAAAAAGGAAAGAAAGAATGAAAGAAAAAAGAATGAGAAAGAAAGAAGTTGAAAGAAGGGAGAAAAGAAAAGAAAAAGCAAGGACGAAAACAAGAACTAAGAAAGAAAGAAAGCATATTAGAAAGAAAGAAACACACAAACAAAAAACGAGTTGAATGAATTTCTGAATAAAGAAATAAAGGTACATAAAAATAAATGAAAAGGTCAAGTGAAAGAGAGAGGAATGAAATTCTGAATATTAGAAAGAAAAAAAACATGAAGCCAAAGGCAAACAAGGGAACCAAACTAAATAGAAACTGATAAAAATAGCGGCCATAATGAATTCAGAGAAGCCAGATGGAAGTTTCGACTGGCAGAAGGTGAAAACGAAATACGGAAAAATTTTACAATTGGAAAGTAACGATACTATCAAACATGGCCGACTATCTTCTCACCAAATCCCAACCCTCCCTGTTCCAGCACCAGTTCCTTGCAGTTCCCTGTCTTTCACTCTCCCGTTACCACCATTCTTTGTTCTTGGCTCCTGGAATTAGGTTTTAGCGGTGTGATAATGTAATTTTGGGTTTTGCCAGGACTGCAAACCACATATTCAGGTGTGTGTTTGGGGAGGGTACGTGAGTAAGAAGAGAAATAGGAACAGAAATGGCTAGACAGGAGAAGTTTCTGTGGAAACAGTAATATCAAACACCATCCGAAACACCAGCACCACCCCCAAGGATTTCCATTGCCACTGCCCTCGTCAGCGTTATCGTTAGTGACATCATTACCAACACCGCCTTCTCCGTTTATTACTTCTTTTACCACAGCGAGCAAACCATTTTTACCGACCGTCAGTATAACCACCCTTTTCGGAATAACCATCATAAAATAACCATGAATTGGAATGGTTAGAATCTTAACTAGATTGTCATCCTACAAGGTTTCTATACTTGAAGGAGGTATTGCATATATTATAAGAAATGGTAATTGAATCAGTTATGACTACAGTAATGTTGAGGTCAGTGTGAATAATGCGTGCTGAAGACTTGACTTGCTGTCACTTGTTCTTGATCTGGATGTGAATGGTGTAAAGAAAACTGATAAAGAAGAAAGAAAAAAAGACTGATTCTGCATATAAGAATGAAAAACCAACAGAAAAAAAAAGAAAAATAGGAAGAGAATAAGATAAAAAAAAATGAAAGTAAATCTGATTAGAAGAAATATAGAAAAATGAAGAAAGTAAGAAACGAAAAAAAAAAAAAAGAAAGAAAAGGGAAAAATAAAATAAAAAAGTAAATAAAGCAGGAAAAAAATAACGCAACAGAAAGAAAGAAAAATGAAAGCAAATTTGATTAATAGAAAAATGAAGCGAATGAAATAAAAAAAAAAAAAAAAAAAGCGGGCGGGGGGAATAAATAAAAACAGGAAGAAAATATGGTGACAGCAAGAAAGATAAAATGAAAAATGGCAAAAATAAAAAAAAATGAAGCAGAGAGACAGAGGGAGACAGGAAAAGGAAAAGGAAAGAAAAGAAAGAAAAAAGACAAAATAAAAAAGAAGGTAAAACAGAAAGAAAATGAGGCAACAAAAATAAAAGAAAAATGAAAGTAAGTCTGATTAAAAATAAAAAATAAAACAGAGAGAAAAAGAGAGAGAGGGGGAAATATAGAGAAAAAGAATTGAAAAAAGAAAGAAAGAAAGAAAGAAAAATATAAAACAAAAGAAAAAAGAAAAAAATGTAGGAAGGAAATAAGACACGGAAAGAAAGAAAAAAAGTTAATGCAAAACTGATTAAAAGAAAAAAATAAAACCAGATAGAAAGAGTGAAAGAAAAGGTAAAAAGAAAAAAGAAAAAAATGATAAAAATCAAAAAAAGAAAGAAAAGGTAAAGAGAAAAAAAAAAGAAAGAAACGGGAAAACGAAAAAAGAAAGAAAAGGAAAAAAAAAAGAAATAAAAAGAAAAGCAGGAAGAAAATATGGTAACAGCAAGAAAGAAAAAATGAAAAATGAAAACAAATCTGATTAAAAATAAAAAATGAAATACACACAGAGAAAGAGAGTGAGAGAGAGAGAGAGAGAGAGAGAGAGGAAAATAAACATGAAATAAAAGGGAAGAAACAAAAACAAAATAAAAAAGAAAGTAAGGCAGAAAGAAAATATATCAACAGAAAGAAATAAAGATGAAAGCAAGTCTGATTAAATGAAAACAAGAGAGAGAGAGAGAGAGAGAGAGAGAGAGAGAGAGAAAATGAAAAAAGAAAGAAACAAAGAAACAAAGACAAAGGAAAAAAATAAAAAACAAAATAAAAAAGAAAATTAATTCAAAATTGATTAAAAGAAAAAAAATATAACAGAAAGACGAAGGAAAAAATGCAAGAAAAGAAAAATTACGAGAAAGAGAGAATGAAATAAACCTTAATGATATTCAGCATTACTTACATTATTTACATTATTCGGACTGTTATCCTCATCTTCATTGTCATATTCCTCAAGGACAGATGGCCCAGTGCATTAAGTTGTTTGTTAAATCCAGTGACTACACTCAAAGAGTTGCGAGTTCAATACCAGGCTACAGCAATGGGGAATAAAAACGTTAGAGAGTTGTGATAAAGGGAAATAACTGAGACACTCGGAAGAGACATGGCGCGTGGAACTAGAACAATCTACCCCAGTGGACGAAATAAAGAGTTCGGTTCGAAATTCCAATCACCTGAAGAAAGCCGGAGAGTACAACGGCCGAAACGTTGTGAATATGACAATGGAGATGAAGATATCAGTCCAAATAATGTAAATAATGTAAGTAATCATAATACCTCATCTCAGAAATTCTGCATATATGCAAATGTAATAAAAAGTAAAAACTATAGGCAGAAATAAGACAACAGAAATAATGAAAAAAATGCAAATCTGATTAAAAGAAATTCAAAAGGGAGGAAAGAAAAATGGCAGAAAGAAAATATAGAAAGAAAAATATAAATATACGAATTCTAAAAAAGACAGAATTTGCCATTCCGGGAGTGGGGAGATGAAATTACATTATAAATTAAATCCAAAAAACTAACTCAAAAGTAATTATGAAAAGAGCAGATATGACTGAGTAGGCATAATCATAGACTGAGAAGAATGCAAATAACTTGGGTTCGACAATGTTTACATGATTAAAAATTATAAATTAAATACTCTTGGAATTTCAGATTAAATTCACTAGTATCATCTTGTCAAGAATATTTAATTTGATCCATTTAAACAAAAACGAGAATGTCTACCAATGTGACTGAAACAGTCCGGAAAAGCCTCGCAAATAAGTTGAACGAATAAGTCATCATTCAGGTGGTGCTGAAAAGCCACCTGTTCAGGAGAAGAGGTTGACAATCTGCCATAAAAACTCGAAAGCATTAGTTGATACGAGACATCGCCTAAGAATGTCAAACGGGATAAGAATGATCTATACTTGCCGATTGAATAATGTATTTGGTTTAAAAAGTCCAAGAAATTTATCGAATAGGAAAGACACCTAAAGGCCAGAGAACACAACTGCTTTTGATAATTTTTAGTATATCATAAATTAAGTTTACGAACCAATAACAAACTTTTACCAAACAATATTGAGATGCTTTTTAATATTTACTATGCAGGTGGGCAATGAAAATTTTCTCCATGTGAAAGTGGACGATGACGCAAAAAGTTTGGGAACCCCTGTTATATATGAAGATAATGAGAAAATTTAAATGCGGAATACTTAATAATAGAAATTATTAAAAAAATAAATCGAGAAATTGCGTGAAATTAGCTATACTATAATCCCAGGGAGGCACGGTGAATTAATAGATAGCGGCTCGGATTGAGAAATCGGAGAGTCGAGTTCAAATTTCGGTAGAATCCATTACATTTACTTACGTGCTAATAGCCTTAATCCCCGCCCAGCTATGTTTATATAATAGGACTGACTGGGTTCTATAGTAGTTGGTGGCAAGCGCTGTAGAAGAAAGAAAACCTCCGACCTTGCCCAAGAAACACCACTTCTACTCCGGGGGCAGTGCATATGCTGCCCCTACGAGTCACGGGATAAAAAATTCCCAGACACATTTAATAGTTGCTTGTTTTATTTTAAACTTTATTTTTTTTATTTTAATTTTAAACATGTTCTGGTGGAGACAACAGACGAAATAATGCTCGGAAAGTACAGAAGAGGAACAGAGAAAGATGGCATAGAAACAGAACTTTTGAAAGATACAGGGAAAGTATTCCAGTAATGGTCTAGCAAAATTGTTTTTTACGGTGTATATAGAAAATAATAACTTTACTTTATAAAAAAAGATTATGAAAACCTTAGAATCTATTTGCCTTTTCCTATTACAAAAGCAGGCATTAATAAACAATTCTGTGACAATGGGACAATGCGTTGTCTTAAATTCGTAAAATATGAGAATCTAAATGCTACCGTCCTTTTTAACGGCATGTGGAGGCGAGTAGATAGAATAAGTGGGATAAAAGTCAGAATATTATGGATGCC